TGCTAGGAAGATCTATGGATGATGAAGATCCATGAACTTTGACGAAAAACTGGAAAATCCGTTGAAGAACACGCGATGGAGTTCGTGAATCTGGGATGCGCTTCTGAAGATTCTTGAGTAAATCTGGAGATGAAGGTTGAAGAATGCGGTGAGGGTTGAAGATTCGTGGCTAAAGATCCATGAAGATCTAGTGGAACCGCATGAACGGTCTTCTGGATTTTCTGAAGGACTTGATGAACAAGGAGGAGTTTTCTTGACTGTCTGATGAACACAATGAAGTCTTACGAATTTCTGGGGAATGATGAAGGCGTTGATGTACAGATCTGACGAAGAATTGATGAAGCTGAAGATCTATGGATCTGAAAAGGATGAACAACCGATGAAGTTTCCAGTGAGAATTTGAATTCTCCGGTGGAATGTGGATGAAGGTCGTTCGGAGGTGGACGGTGAAGATGAAGATCTGGATGAATTTTCTAGAAAAATGGCGTTTCCGATGGGTGTTGCGGCGGTCGGAAACGGTTAGAGTGAACGCCGACGAGTAGTTAAGGTGGCCGGCGGGGGCTTTGCATGGCCGGCGGTGAAGGGACCGGTGAGGGGACGGGTGGCAAGAGGGAGAGGGAGAGGGAGCCACGTGTGGCTGAGGCAGACTGATAGTGAGACACGTGGGGAGGAGAGAGGGTGAGTGGTGATGGTGAGGTGTCGACTTCTGAGTGTGTGTGAGAGTGAGGTGGAAGAAGTTCAGATACACGCGTGACAGCGTATATATAGGACACGTGGCATGTGGACCTTTGACTGGGCCTGATCTGGATACTGGCCCACTTGGATAATGACTCAGATTAATATACTAAACATGATTAATTGGTGATTATTTGACTTAAACTCTGATTAGGGCTAATTAACTAACAAAAACTTGAACTAATTAACTAAATAAAACCCTAAAAATAAAACGAAAATTAAAAAAATAAAACCTAATTAATCTACCATTAACCCTAATTAATCCTAAAATGAAAATTAAAAATAAAATCCTAATTAATAGAAAAACATTTAATATCTAAAACTATTTTAAAAAAACCTAATTAAATCTGAAAAAAAACAAATAAAAAAAAATCTAAAACAATTAATCCTCTTTTTTTTTAAAAACTATTCTATTAATCTTGAAAGATCAATTAAAACTTAATAAAATCTAAAACATTAAATTCTATTTTTTTAAAATCTATTCTAGTTATATCTATTTTTTTTAAAAAACCTATTAATGCATTAAAAAAATCTAGAAAATGACAGAAAAATCCTAAAAATGCCAAGAAGCCGATTAAACCGATTGGAGAACAATTGCGCAACCATAGCGAAACCCGGGCACCAAGATGGCCTGAAAACATAGGGAACGAGCACCAATTCTCAACAGACTTTTATTCCAACCGGCCTGAACTGCCTGAAACACCAGGGGCTGTAATCCCGATAAAATCCATCTGACTGAGAAAAATGCAATGCATGCAGTATGCGAATGCGAATGCAAAATGTGTCGAAACATAAACCAGATATGGGGACCGGTTGGTCAAATTTTAGGGTGCAACACGTGTCATTATCAGACACTATGTAATTGATAATTTTCTTCTAATAAAACTTATGTACCTTTTCTACCTTGATTGCTCCACCAACTCTGTCTTAAACCATTTGGTGAAATAATATATTATTATGATTAAGGGTGTTTATTGGTTCGGGAAAATTTGAACCAAGCCGTAATCTAAACCAAATCTTGGTGTTTCGGTCGGACATTTTTTTAGTTCGGGCAAAAACCGAACCAAACCAATGAAATTTGATGTTAACTGGTTCGGGCAACGAATTTCCAAAATTCTACTCGCGAGTCCGTTTACCTGAACCAACCATATTAATTTATGTAATTTATATCATAATTATCATGGAAACTAGTATAAGATATTAAACTTTAAGAAGTAAAAAAATGAAACGCCGTTTGTGACATTCACAACTTATATGGAGAAATAAAACAAATTAAATTTTTTATATTAATATGGAAAATTAGTTGATGTAAATTAGACATTTTTAAAAAATATTTTTACACATTTATTTCTAATGTATCCGATCAATTCAACCCAAATCAACCTGTTATTTTTCAGCTTGGTTCAAATTGAATTTTGTGGAAAAAATGTAAAAATCCAATCCAAACCAATCCATATATTTTTTATTGGTTTGGGTATCATATTTTCTCAAACCGAACCGAACCGGCACGCGAACGTCCCTAATTATGATAAGTAATTTTATTTGTCCTAGAGCTATGGAGAATGAGCCTATGATATAAACTTCCCACATGTAGAAGGGTCACATGAATTATACTGAATGTAACACTTCTACAAAGACATGGTGCACTTTCACATACTTTTAGCACTTGTCACATCTCTTAACATACTTCGTGTTATCAAGGATTTCAATGGGTCAATATAAATCAAATTAGATGAGCGCTTGCTGACCGTGAATCTTCAACCTACATGAATGTTGCATACCCTTTTATGTACTTTGGTAACGAAACTTTTAAATTCTTCTAGGCTCAAGAATCTAAGCATGAGGGAGATTTCCCCCGTCTTATGTGCAATTTTCTTGCAAATAATAAATATTTAAAAAATTTATTTTTTATCTTTTCCTCCTCTTATAGTATTTATGGTAATGTTTCTTCTTGAAGGTATCAGATGAGATGGGTCATCTAGTTTTTATTTTTTTAATGAAATCTACCATAATTACTTATGTGTTAGGAATTGTTATTATTTCTTGGATGATCTTCCAACTATTTTCCAAATTCTTTGTACTTTCTAACTTTGATACGATGTATGCCTTGGAACTTTGATCCCTAGGGACATAGGTTACTTCAAAGAAATTAAAAATTTTGGCAAGAGTTTTTACCTTGTGTAAATATTTTATCAGTTGTAGCTCTTTAGTATGATATTCTCCATACACTTGGATTATTACCAATTTTGAATATCTCATATCTCTTAGGTCTTTTGACTTCCGTTTCAATAGCCAACTTCATTTTTTAGATTATGGGATTGCATTCCGCTTGGTTGTCATTATATTTAAATTCAAAGCATACAATTTTGCCTATTAGCAAGTCGTTAGGACCAATTAATCCTTTTTTCACTTTTTTGAGGTTTGATGCTTCATCCACTAATACAATTCATATCTTTGTGTGTTGATAAGCTTGAATGGGTTGAACAATTCAGGCACAAAGTTGGCCAGGATATGTGATATAATGCTTCCTATATTAAGGAAGGTGATGTCGTTGTACGAGGGCTCTATGGAGCACACCACCATTCTCCATGCAGGGTTAGGCTTTTTTTAACACATATTTGATGGGGTAATTCGTCTTTACAACCACTCAATGGTTTGAAAAACAACGAACTTTTCTTACCCTGTTTAGCCAAAAGGAAATCTAACCTAGATGCAACTTGCTACAACAATGGAACCCCTCCCCCTTTGCTAAATGAACAATGTTGATGTTACATTGTCTGATATGAAACACCAACTAGACCAAATGAATTCTATCTTAATCACCGCGACACAAGAAAGATGACCAATGTTTTTTTTTATCTTCGTGCGTCAATCCACAATGATGGATATGTTTAATGCGAGAACCGTGTTCTCAGTAGTTGGTCAACATTGTTCCTTAGAGTCGACCGAGTTCGACATTACCTTGATAAGATTTGTTGATACTAAATGTTCAAGTCAAAATCGTCCCAAAACTTTTGATGAGATTGCAACATGCATGATTGAGAGAAATAAAAAAGTAACTAGTTTGTCTTACATATGACATTGTTTTTATTTAATTGATATTTTTAATTAATCACAACTTATTATTGGTATTTGACGCGATACATGTTAAATTTCATATGATTTAATAAAATATTCCAATTCATTGTGTTTTTTCCATAGATTTAACAATTTCAAATTCAGTAAGTTGGAGGTCTAAAATATATAGACTTAGAATTATAAGTTACAGAGGATTTTTTTTTGTTGTTTTTAGTTTAAAAAATTTATGAGAAATTTCAAATGTGTAAAAAAAAGAGGAAATTCTCAATTCACCTACCAATAATAACAGAGACTTTGTTTAAAAAAGCAAAATAATATTATAGACCTTTCAAATTTTCAATTTTATCCTTTTTCAAAGGATAGTCTTATAATTTATTTTTCATATTTTAAAAGTTTTTTAGAAAAATCTTTCTAAAAATTTTAGAACACGAAAATGAATCACTAAAAAGATCTTTTAAAAGAGTTTTATGAGAGATTTCAAAAATTTAAATTAAATAATACTGACTATTTAACTGACTAGAAATTTGAAAAATTATAGATTTTTTTCAATTTTAAAAGATAGATTGAGAATTTTCCATAAGAAATAACTTTTTTTTTAATCATAAATGCCTAAACACTTGAACAATCTAAAATGTGAGTTTCACTGTGCTAATACTAAACTTTGCGGAAAAAGAAAGAGGATTACAAATGAAAAAAAAAAAACATAATTGCTATGTTAATTATTTAGGGGATTTATGATTTAGGTTTTTCGAAATCCAATCTACATCCACATAAAACCCGTTTAAATGGTTTGGATATAAAACCAAATTAATAGAACCGGTTATAAAAAAATTAAACCAATTTTAAAACCGGTTAAAATATGAAAACCCAGTTTTCAACATTAACCATAACAATAATAACAACTTCTGAACCAAACCAGTTAACAATATAAATATGGAAAAATAAAAATTGACAAAGCAAACAAACAACACCACATGCAGAGTCACCGCCGTCGTGGGAGGAGATTCACTCGCCGCCGCCGTATGTTCAATCAACATAGCTTCATTCAAACTTTAAAGTCTAGTTTTTTAGTATTTTTTGTATTAAACTTGTAAATTACCTTTGTGCATATTTTGAACTCAATTTGAAAATTTCCAGCTTTTTAGGGTTTGAATGCAATAGAATTGGTAATTACTGTGTTTGAGAGAATGGTGTCACATTTGATTCTTTCTCGTAGGTTTCTCAAACCTAGGTTCCTTAATTCTGGTTTCTATGCGTCTCTTTATCACACCATTTCCAATCCTTTGATAACCTCTCAACAATTTATAAATCGAAACCCCGGTCAAAATAATTCATTTAGTCTATTTAAGCAATCCCAATTTGGGATTTATGATATTGAATTTTGTAAAGGTGTTGGGTCACTCTCAAATTTCCAACTTCTTGTGCACATTTCTACGACGCCTTCGAGTTTAGAGCAGGATAAGGAGAACAAGAATCAGAGTAGTAGTAATGTTAGTAGTGGAGGGGGAATCTCTTGGATTGGCTCGTACTTGCCTAAGCTGGTTCGGCCGTATGCCCAGCTTGCTCGCCTTGATAAGCCGATTGGAACATGGCTGCTTCTATGGCCTTGTGTGTGGTAAGAGCTTTATTGATATGAATTTGAAATTTTGATAGTGATTCGAAATGTATTGTACTATAGTAGCTATGGTTACACCTTTGAGATTGATAGGCGTCGGAAATTTTAGAGGCCATGGAGATCCTTTTTCATTTATTGGCAATATATTAACACACAATCGTACGTATGAATAAATATATAAACAACGTAAACACGAAGAAGTTAAAAGAAACATATTTTTTTCTATAACATGGGAGGGGAGGTATTTTCTTTCAGGAAATGCTCCATTCTAAGTTTGTTATCTCTTTCCATACGATAGGTCAATCACCTTGGCAGCACCCCCAGGGCATCTTCCTGATTTTAAAATGTTGTCTCTGTTTGGATGTGGGGCTTTTCTTTTGAGAGGTGCTGGGTGTACTATTAATGATCTCATTGATCGGGATATTGATACAAAGGTAAATGTTATTGCTTTTTCATGGTTGCATTTTCTTTTGGCAATAAGAGATACCGAGATACTATTTTTCTGTTATAAGTTATAACTGATGTATGTATGTATGTATGAGGAACGTGTATGTGGATATATGATGGACTGCAGCCAAGTCATGCCAAGTCTAGTGCTTTAACATTTCATATGGCTTGTAAACTCATCTCTATCTTATATAATTTGTAATTATTTTTTCTTCTTCTTCAAATATTGTTAAATCATATCAATTTACTTTTGTGAAAGTTACCTATTGTTTCAATCTTCAAAGAACCTAATAGATATTAGTTTTTTCAACCCCTACAATGTTTTTTCAAGGATAAGTACCAGGCTTATAGATAAATATGATTAGTATTACTTTCACCCAACTCAACATTTCCCATTCATCATTATTAACATTGAAGACTTTGGTTGCCCTGTCTTTTTTGCTTTGATTTTTGTTCCTATGATGAAACCTTGTAGAGTTTGTTTTAATAGCAATACTTTGTTTTTGTTGAGCATGTGATGTCATACTTCTTCCCTTCTCCCCTGTTTATAGTCTCAAGTGACAAAGTTCAAATCCCACAGGGACAACAATTGTAAAATGACCATTAGTGTAAATGTTATTAACAATAATTTTATTACTGAGTATGTTTTATACAATCTAATATTGCAGGTAGAACGTACAAAGTTGAGACCTGTCGCAAGTGGTCTTTTAACACCATTTCAAGGGCTTTCTTTTCTTGGATTTCAACTGCTTTTGGGCCTTGGTATTCTTCTACAACTGAATAATTATAGGTTAGTGTTTGTATTGTCTGCCAAGATATATGGTTAATGTCTACTTGTGCTATGTTGGGGCTTTAGACTGTTAAATCTGCAATATCTCAATCAGCTATTAAAGAATGGCACCTATGATCTGTGTTCCATGTCCTTGTCTATGGTAGTATGGCCTTTGATTGCTAAAGCTCCAATTCCTTTTGAAATGTTTTTAAGATTAAATATTGTATAGAGTGTTTGAAATAAATTAACCTAGATTCTCCCTTGGATTAGACCTATAAAAATGTGTGGGAGAGAATATAGCATTGCTTTATCCAATACCATCTATAACATATACCTTGCAAAACACTGTTTCGTTCAGCACAAAGATTGATCCTTTTTTGTTTAACAACTTTTGCTTCAAATGGCTTGCAAGTACCGTCATCCTTGTATGTGTGATCACTATTTTGTATCTAAATCAAAATATGAAATGTGATTTCTGATCATATTTTAAATATTGTTTGGTTTGTCATTTTTGGCAGCCGTGTTTTGGGCGCCTCATCCTTGTTGCTGGTCTTCTCATATCCCCTGATGAAGAGGTTTACATTTTGGGTAATGAATTTTCTCATTTCTAATTTCTTCTGGCGGATTTTATTTTTCTTCTTACTTCATAACTGTTATCTTTGATATAAGATCTCATTACATTCTTATATGGCCCTCTCCTGATATATTGGTTAGCCTCAAGCATTTCTTGGGCTGACCTTTAACTGGGGGGCTTTGTTAGGATGGGCAGCAGTTAAAGGAAATCTGGATCCATTTATTGTGCTGCCACTTTATGCCTCTGGAGTTTGTTGGACTCTCGTTTATGATACTATCTACGCACATCAGGTAAAAAAAGGTTGTATTTTGAAAGCTTTGATCCCCATGATTTTGCTTCTCTGTCCTACCTTTTAATTGCTTCATGAGTTGCGCTGATGTTATGGTGTCCGACAACATTAGGTCCATCTTTATGATCTATTTGCATTTATTCCTGCACCTGTTCCTGCTATCGGGCTTGTTATGCTCTCCTTCAAACACGGGGTGTATAAAAGTCATGATGTAGTTTTAATTTCAACCATGTTCAGATGATTGTGCTGTCTCTAACAGTTTAGATGTTAAGTGAAAAACAAGAAATTAACAAGACTATTTTGTTCCAGTATCCTCCACAAGAATCTTTTAATCACATTCTTAAATATTCAGGATAAAGAAGACGACTTGAAAGTGGGAGTTAAATCAACAGCGTTACGCTTCGGTGATTCAACAAAAGAGTGGCTTACTGGGTTTGGCATTGCAAGCCTTGGTGGTCTTGCTCTCACTGGATTTAATGCTGAACTAGGTATTAATTTATGAACGTTTTCATTACTGTTTGGGGTTAAATAATTGTTTTCTGAGTTCTGATTCATATGACTGGAGCAGGGTGGCCATATTATGCATTTCTGGGAGTTGCATCTGGACATTTAGGCTGGCAAATATGGACAGTTGACCTTTCTTCTCGTTCCGATTGCAACAGGAAGTATGTTTCGGAGAATTTTTCTGCATAAATTAATGTTTGAAAGGGTCACAGAACTTTATTTGCTTGAAAATGTATTGCATATTCACTATAATTTTATTTAATGGTCAATACCACAGAAAAGCAATTCTGAGATTATCATAAGCTTTTTTCTAACTTCATTTAAAGTTTTTCAAAGACTAAATTTTATGGATTCACTATTTAAATATTGTTATATAATGTTTCATTCAGTTCTCTCAAATTAAACTACGACTTGACCTTGTTTCTTTTCCCCTCCTTCAGATTTGTATCAAATAAGTGGTATGGAGCTATCATATTTGGTGGAATCCTAGCTGGAAGACTATCTTCATAGGGGTAAAGTTTGATTATACCTTTGTATTGTTCCTTTCGTTTATCTTCTACAGAACATTTCTCTAGAGACAATTTTTATACTCATTAAATGTTGAAACATGTTCTTCTGATACAAACATCTGAATGCTCTCCAGGTAATCTTCAATGGCGCTGATAACTCACATAATCTTAAAAGAAGTTGATAGAGGAGGTGCGGATAGTGAATTAAATGAGAATGTGGAAATTGAGTACGGGCCCAAACCTAAGACTTGGAAGGTGTACACAAGGAAAAGGAAGAAGCATGACGTGGCTAAGAATCACCTGAAGGGGTGAGATGCATGTGACAGTAGTACTATATAAGGATTAAGAAGAGAATAGAGAGGTAGCCAAGTTTTCAGTTAGTAGTGGGGTCACTTTTGAGTGATTTGTGGGAGGCCTGCGGCCTAGGGATTGGTGTAATCATTTACCAATTTGTCTTCTACCCTTTTCTGTTATTACAGTCTGTTTCACATAATTGTTCAGATTTTAATACAATTACAGTTTATTCTCTTCTATTTTCCTGTAACTGTTCCATTCATCAGAATAGAACCCATCAATTGGTCCGACCTACCGGATCCACAACCTCACCATTATCGTTTAGTAGATGCCACGCAAACCTAACAAGATGGGAGAACGCCTTGATGTCCTTGAAGAACAGATGGGGGAAGTGAGATCTACCCTCGAGGCGTTGGCTCTGCAGATGCAACGGCAGAGCGCCACCATCGCGGAGCAAATGCAGCAGCAGAGTTTGGTGTTGAGCGAGCTTAGTAAACAGATTGGGCAAAAAACAGGGGAGAACGTCACTGAAAGCGAGAAGTCAGTGGGTGATCATTCGAACGGTGAATCTCGTCTCTCCGGCAAGAAGGTGAAGCTTCCAGTGTTCGACGGCGAAGATCCGGTTGCGTGGATTACGCGCGCTGAGATATATTTCGATGTCCAAAATACATCGGAAGAGATGCGAGTAAAGCTTGCTCGTCTGAGCATGGAGGGTGCAACTATCCATTGGTTTAATTTGTTAAGGGAAACAGAGGACGAGTTGTCATGGGAGAAGTTGAAGAAAGCGTTGATCGCTCGTTATGGCGGTCGTCGATTGGAGAATCCGTTTGAAGAATTATCCACTCTTCGTCAGAAGGGAAGTGTGGAGGAGTTTGTTGAGGCTTTCGAGTTGTTGTCGTCGCAGGTAGGACGACTTCCGGAAGAACAATATCTGGGTTATTTTATGAGTGGCTTAAAACCCCAAATCCGAAGGAGGGTGCGTACGTTGAATCCTAAAAACAGGATGCAGATGATGAGAATGGCGAAGGACGTGGAAGACGAGCTGAAGGATGAAGACGAAGATGAGAGGTACGTTGGAAAAAAAGGAACAAATGAGAAAATGGGCCGGAGTGAGTGGGCTGGGTCAATTTTTAAGAATCGGAGCGGGTCTATTCAAAAGGATTCTGCCCGACCCGGAAATACGGTGTGGTCCAACCCGACACAGAAAAGTGGGTCAATTGGGTCCAATGCAAATTCCACGTCATCATTATCTTCTACTGCAAAAAAGGGTGAGAATTCTGGATCGAGTGAGAAATGGAAGGGAATACGAAGCATCCACAACGACGAGATGGCGGAGAGACGTGCAAAGGGATTGTGTTTCAAGTGCGGGGGGAAGTATCACCCAACGCTCCATAAATGTCCGGAACGATCGATGCGGTTGCTGATTCTGGGCGAGGGAGAAAGTTTGAATGAGGAAGGGGAGATTGTGTCGTTGGAGGCGGAGGAAGAGGAAAGTAAAGAAGAAACTGAGATTGAGTGCAAGGCGATGGGAGTGTTAGGCACGATGGGGGAGTACAGGACCATGAAGATTGAAGGAATGATAGGAAATGTGGGGGTGCTGGTATTGATTGATAGTGGAGCAAGCCATAATTTCATTTCTTCTGAAATTACCTCTGCGCTGGGTCTTGATGTCACTCCTATGACTTCAAGGAACATCAAATTGGGGGATGGTCACAAGGTAGTAACTAAAGGGGTATGTAAAGGAATTTGTATGAAGTTAGGGTCCTTTGAAGTAGTGGTGGATGCGTTGGTCCTGGATTTGGGAGGGCTTGATTTGGTGCTAGGGATGGCGTGGTTGAGTACACTGGGGAAGGTGGTGATGGACTGGAAATTTCTCACTATGAAATTTCTAAGTGAGAATCGAGTGGTAAAACTCCACGGCCAAGGAGTGAAACAGGAACAACAGGGTTTCCTCAATACGTTTCTGGAAGAGAAGCCCAACAGAGGAGGTGTGGAATGGTGGTGGTCACAGGGCGGAGGAGGCAAGAAAAATAGGGAAACAACACAGGAGGATTTGAGCTCCATCCTAACGCAATTTTCGGGAATTTTCCAAGAGCACATTCGACTTCCACCAGAACGAACTCAAGTTCATCAGATCAAACTGTTTTCAGGTCAGGGTCCTGTCAACGTGAGGCCCTATAAGTACCCTCATCACCAAAAAGAAGAGATCGAAAAACAAGTTGCAGAACTCTTAGCAGCAGGTGTGATACGGCCAAGTATGAGTGCTTATTCTAGTCCAGTCATTTTAGTCAAGAAGAAGGACAAGAGTTGGAGGATGTGTGTAGATTATAGAGCTCTAAACAAGGCCACAATACCAGATAAGTATCCCATACCTATTGTAGATGAACTGCTCGATGAATTGTATGGTGCTACTATATTCTCAAAAATTGACCTTAAGTCTGGATATCACCAGATTCGAGTTCATGAGAATGACATCCACAAAACAGCTTTTAGAACCCATAATGGACACTATGAATACTTAGTGATGCCTTTTGGTTTAATGAATGCGCCAGCTACTTTTCAAGCCACTATGAATGATATTTTTAGACCATTCCTAAGGAAGTTTGTCCTAGTGTTTTTTGATGACATTTTGGTATACAGCAAGGACTTAGTAGAGCACCAAGACCATTTGAAACAGGTGCTAACTGTGTTATTATCTAACTGTTTTGTGGCCAACATGTCCAAGTGTAAGTTTGGATGTGCAGAGGTGGACTACTTGGGGCATGTGATCTCAGGAAAGGGGGTAGCAGTGGACCCTGAAAAAATACAGTGTGTATTAGACTGGCCAGAACCAAAAAATGTAAAAGGGGTCAGAGGTTTCCTGGGTTTAACTGGGTATTATAGGAAGTTTGTGAAGGACTATGGGAAGATAGCCAAACCCCTCACTGATTTGACTAAGAAAGATAATTTTTCATGGGGCCCTACTGCTGCTGAAGCCTTTCATAGATTAAAGCAAATCATGACATCATCCCCTGTACTGGTATTGCCTAACTTTTCTTTGCCTTTTGAGATTGAGTGTGATGCAGCTGGTAGGGGCATTGGGGCAGTGCTGATGCAGAATAAACAACCAGTAGCCTTTTTCAGCAAAGCATTGTCAGCAAGAAATCTAGCCAAATCTGTGTATGAGAAAGAATTGATGGCTCTTGTACTTTGTATTCAATATTGGAGACACTATCTTTTGGGTAAACCTTTTACAGTATATACTGACCACAAAAGTCTTAAATATTTTTTGCAACAAAGAGTGACATCACCAGATCAGCAATGTTGGGTGGCTAAACTGTTGGGATACCAGTTTGAGGTCAAGTACAAGCCTGGGTTGGAGAATAAGGCTGCAGATGCTTTATCCCGGTGTCATGGTGAGGTGGAACTGAAGACTTTAATCTCTTATTCTACATGGTTGGGTGGACACCTGTTGTTAGATGAGGTGGGAAAAGACCCTTATGTTCAGAAATTGAGGACAGAAGTGGAAAGCAAATTGGAGGCCAAACCCGGGTTCACTGTGAAACATGGGATTTTATTTTATCAGGGAAGGCTTGTTATCTCTCCCACGTCACCATCAATTCCTTTGTTGCTCGAGGAATTTCATAGCACTCCAAGCGGTGGCCATTCTGGGTTTTTAAGGATTTATAGGAGATTGGCAGAAAATATATACTGGGCAGGGATGCAAAAAAGGATACGTGATTTTGTAAGATCTTGTGATGTGTGTCAAAGGCAAAAATACGCAGCTACAACTCCTGGGGGTCTTCTGCAACCGTTGCCTATTCCAAATGCTGTTTGGGAGGATCTCTCCTTAGATTTCATAACTGGTTTGCCCAAGTCTAAGGGTTTTGATGTTGTGCTGGTTGTTGTGGACAGATTGTCTAAATATGGCCATTTTATCCCTCTGAAACACCCCTACACTGCTAAAACCATTGCAGAGGTCTTTGTGAAGGAAATTGTGAGACTGCATGGAATTCCACTATCCATCATTAGTGACAGGGATCCTATCTTTATTAGTCATTTTTGGCGGGAATTATTCAAGTTACAGGGCACTAAGCTCAAAATGAGTTCAGCTTATCACCCGGAAACGGATGGTCAAACTGAGGTTCTTAACAGGTGTTTGGAAAGTTATTTACGCTGTTTTGCATCAGAGCAGCCAAGAACATGGTCTCAATGGATTCCTTGGGCAGAGTTCTGGTACAATACCACGTATCATGTATCCATTGGCAGAACTCCGTTTGAAGTAGTTTATGGTAGGACTGCTCCTAACTTGCTCAGATTTTTGAGTAATGAAACAAAAGTGGCAGCTGTGGCTTTAGAGTTGGCTGAACGTGATGAGGCTTTATCTCAGTTGAAGGGGCATTTGTTAAGAGCCCAACAGCAGATGAAGAAGTATGCGGATTTGAGTAGGAGAGATGTAAGGTTTGAAGTGGGAGAATGGGTTTTCCTTAAGTTGAGGCCTCATAGGCAACAGTCCGTTATTAAAAGAATCCATCAGAAGCTTGCAGCTCGTTTTTATGGCCCTTTCCAGATTATTGAGAAGATAGGGGAGGTAGCATATAAGTTGCAATTGCCTGATCAGTCCAGGATACATCCTGTCTTTCATGTCTCTTTACTTAAGAAAGCTGTAGGAGACTACGAAGTCCAAGGGGAGCTGCCTAAGGAGTTAGAGGTGGTTATAGGGGTGGAACATTATCCTGAGAAGGTGCTTGGCTCTAGAATAACCATGAAAGAAGGAGTGGTTGTTGTCCAAAGTTTGATTCAGTGGAAAAATGGATCTGTTGATGATGTGACCTGGGAAGATAATGATTTTTTGCAGGGCCAGTTTCCAGATTTTATCCTTGAGGTCAAGGATGTTTTGAAGGAGGGTGGTATTGATAGAGGAGGTGCGGATAGTGAATTAAATGAGAATGTGGAAATTGAGTACGGGCCCAAACCTAAGACTTGGAAGGTGTACACAAGGAAAAGGAAGAAGCATGACGTGGCTAAGAATCACCTGAAGGGGTGAGATGCATGTGACAGTAGTACTATATAAGGATTAAGAAGAGAATAGAGAGGTAGCCAAGTTTTCAGTTAGTAGTGGGGTCACTTTTGAGTGATTTGTGGGAGGCCTGCGGCCTATGGATTGGTATAATCATTTACCAATTTGTCTTCTACCCTTTTCTGTTATTACAGTCTGTTTCACATAATTGTTCAGATTTTAATACAATTACAGTTTATTCTCTTCTATTTTCCTGTAACTGTTCCATTCATCAGAATAGAACCCATCAGAAGTAAAGGAATGTTTTATGGCACGTGAGACCCGACTTTGCAGCTCCATAATCATGAGGTTATGACCGAGAAATTGATTTTTAAAAACTTTTAGAATTTGAATGATGAGAACAAGCGTGCCGAGGCAGTAACTACCATTTGAAGTTCCAAGTTTCAAGCTACGGAGTAATTGGTGTTGTGTTAGTCCAGTTATGTATGTATTTACTAGTGATGGTGTTAGTTCACTCATTTTTGGATGAGTGAAAGGGTATCATATTTGTTATAGGAAGTAGATGGAAGAGTGTTTATTTATCATGAGAGAAATATCAGAAACATTGAAAAACTTGAAACATTTCAAGAACAATTTTGAATATTGAAGTCGTAATAAAGATCTATTTTTTATGCAGGTGCTAATATGTTTCACCGATCATGTCCACACATTTTATTTTTTCCTGAGATAAATCATGCTCCATCATAACAAACAAAATGACAGTTGCAGATTTATGAAGCACGTTGCATGCAAGTAACGTGCCTAAGAAATATCATTTGGCTTCTGCAACTCGAACTATGATTTATATACCGAATGAGAAGTTATGAAAACTTAAAACATGAACCATTTTTGAGTATTTTGTTGCATGTTACATTTTTCCCTTTCAAGTTTGGCAATTACATGTATCTTTGCGAGGATGCCAAGAGAAAGGAGTGGAGGTGTTATACCCCTGCAACCAGGCCATTCTCTACATCTTGGAATGTGGTGTTTAGTGAAGCTTCCTTTTGGTAGCAACTGCAACAAGCAGTGTCTCTGTAAGACAGCTTAGCAGCTATGTGAAACTAAGGACCAAAGATGAAGAGAAAATTGGACCAACTCATTTACACGTCACGATCACCTGAAAATGTAGAAATAGAGGGTGATGTAAAAACTTTTAACTAAGGAGAACAATGTCTATGAGACAGAGTATCTCCTACTCCTACCATTTTTTCCCTCCCGAGCCTTCCTACTCGATTTCTGATGCTTTCCTCCACCTTGACCGCTAAAATTTGCAATTCTTCCTATTCCTTTAGAAAGTGAGGTAAAGAAAGTTCTTCCATTTCCTGCCTTATCAATCATGCCTTGTTTCATGAACATTTGCTCCTTCTCTAACTCACTCAGCCTAACCCTCAATCTTGAAATCTCCAGCTTCAGTTCTCGATTCTCTCGTCGCAGAGATGCATAGTTGTCCCTTGGGGACATGGCTGCACTTGGAACACCGCTACTTATTCTCTGCGATAGTAGCCCTTCTCCTGAACTCCCTGACAAGGCATTTTTCAACCGCAGCTGCTCAAAATACAAGACTTGTACCACCATCTGCAGTGGAAGTCTATCATTCTGAGCAGCATGGTTGCATGCTTCTTGAGATAGCTTCTGACAGTCTATAAACTTGCAAAGTTTCTTGCATTCTTGTTCTGTTAATGCTGTATGGGCCTGAACAGAGGGAAAAAATAGGTTCTTTGTCAACATGAAAAAGAAAAGTGGATAACACACATAATCAACTTATTAATTTTGTAAGTGTAACTGTTGCATGATCGAGAAGACCGTGGTTTGAATATGAAGTTTCTAAACATTGGAATCATAGAAAGATCTTCTCTATAGTCAAAGAAAATTTACCTTCAAATAAATGTCCACGGCTCTATAAAGGCCATCGTCGATGACACGGGCATAATCTGGAAGTATCTCAATCAAGGCAATAAACTTCTGTACACTTAAGCAAGGATCAGGAGAAATTTCTGCTAAAAAAGCATCAATAAGCTGACCTACTTTTAGCAAAGAACCGTGACCATTAGAGCCAACCCCGTCGGATTCATATCCGTAGTCTTCTGTGTCCTCCTCTTCAATCCTCTGCAAGAAATTCACCAGTAGCCTGTGAACTGTATCTACATCAAACAAGGAGTCGCCACTCTGCAGAGACGGTATAAGAAGATCATCTAGCGAAACCATCTCCAACCTTAACGATATCCTTCTTTCAAGCTCAAGCCTACAGGGAATGGGGGCTCCCAACATAATGGCCATCTTTAACATGCCAAACAAGAAAGACAAGGGAATCATGGAAGAGCTTTTGTCTGTTGGCATGAGACTAACAATAGTTTCGACGATCGTCCTCTGGTCCTTTTCTATAGTGGTTGGACTCGAGTTTGTTCTTGATGGATTCCAGTATTGACATTTTCCAATACCCTTCAATGATGACTGAGCATAATGCATCAGTGAAGCTATAATGCTATGTGATCTAACTCCCATTCTTCTCATGGCACATACAACTCTCTGGTAGAAATCGATACGCAGTACCGAGAGATCTTCAATCCACCATGCCACAAAGTCCTCCTTAAGTTCCTTAGACTCACCATCGCAATCTAATTTAGATAAACCAGAAACCAATTGCTCTTTACAAGCATTCATTGCAATAGCTTCCACACACCCTTTTGAAATTTCTATCTCCTCTACTATATTCAGCGGTAACATCTCACAGGTTGATAGAACTTCCACTGACTTCTGAAGACTTTGAAACACAAACTCATTCAGATAAATGTCCGTTCTTGAGATGAGGTTTTGCTCCCGGTATTCTTCTGTCATTTCGAGATACTCAGCTGCACAACGCAGCCGGGCAACGTTAAATGTCGTAATCTCGAAATTCATCCCGTAACAGAACTTCATGGCAAGTTCAAATGTCTGGTGCTCTCCTGGAAAGTTCAGGAGCTCCAAATTTGAAACATTGGAACCCTTGTTGGCTTCAGCAACCATCCTCCGGATCTTCCCACTTAGAGTAACCAAAGGAAACTACATGAACCACAACAACAAATTAACTTCAGGTACATTTATTAGAGTTCAAAGTAACAGAACAAGCCTAGGAATGTTGAAAATTTTACCTTATGCAGCAAAAATGACTCTCCATCAACAACAATTGTAATGTCACCAGCAACATCAGCAAAAATCCTGCCATGAAGAAGAAAAACAAAACTTGAAAGCCAACACTAGTAAAGCAAAACTTGAATAAAACTAACACTCAAAACTTAGTAGTAGTAGAAGTATACCTACCTAGTAGTGTAAGAGTTACAAAATTTAGGAGTAGTAGAAGTAGAAGAGTGCTTAGAGGAAGAGAGAGTGTTTTCAGAAACCATTTTTTTCCTTCTACCGAGAAAGAGTGAGAAGAGAAAACTAGAGAAGATGAAGCTCCTTGTTCTTGTGTCTGAGGTGTGTCTGCATGTGTTTGTTTAATGTCTCAGTAACAGCAACATAAACTGTAGCTATACAGGTATGAATGATTATACTAGAGTATCAAATAATGTGTACGGGTCTGTGATTGCAGACTGTTGAGGAATATTTTGAAGTAAACACCCGAAAACACCCTCAAACATAGCAACCAATTATTCACAAGCTTTTTCTTTTCATTTTTATAGCATAACATGGCTTGTGACCTTGTGTATATAGTCTTTTGCTTTTTGGCTGCTTTTGTTTCTGATCTTTAGCAGTATAATATATAATAGTGTTATCACTATCACTATACTGTATGTTTCATATTCAAACGTGACGATAAAACAGCATGCTTTATTGTGTTTGGAATTTGAAAAATGGCAATTAGTGAAACAGTTACAGATTATACTAGTACTATTAATATAGCCAAATTTAATTGGAGAGTTTTGAATGGGAGTTACAAGTTGAAGGTTGAAACATGAGTTTTGTTATGTGTGTGAAAAGCAAAAGAGATGATAGGGTGTTGATTTGGTGGAGTGGAGACGGAGGGGTCAATGTATGTTGAAAAAGGAAAAGTGGTCTAAGGACATATCTGACATGGTACAGAGTTGACACGGAACTCAATAAAGATGCAATTATTACAGACACCACAACTCCACACTCCTGTCTTTTCCAGATTTATCTACTTCCTTTTTTTGGTAGTATGATTAATGAAGCTACTAGCTAATACTAATTTTAGAGAAATTAAAATTTTCATACAAACCTCTCCCAAGAAAACCTCACCGCCGCTAGATTTTTCTAATAAAACATTAAGAAAGTACTTGATGCGATAAAATAAGCTAATTGTCTTGTATCATGTGTCACTTTTAGAATTTAAGAGAAGGCGCTAATAAAATTAGAGTCTCTTCTTAAATTGATATAGAGGGGATGAAATCATCTTTAAAATTTAGAATAGAGTGATTATAGTCACTTCTTAAATTTTAAAAGAGGAGTCAAATGCATTTGAGTCATTTATTTTATGGTAAAATATTTAATTTTTATTATTTTACATATTATATAATATTATAATATTTATTATTATTTTATTTGAAATTTTTCTTGTATAAATAGATAATGTCATGACTTGCATCTTTATCGTTGAATAATTGCTCTGATTTTAAAACAGTACTCCATTTTTTTGTCTCTTGTCGTAAATAGTGACCCCAACCTATAATAGGTTGTTTTTACCAGCGCGGTGATAGGGAGGTTTCTAGTTCTCTTAAATACGCCGTTCAGGGATTCCACAAGGTTTGTGGTCATGTGACCCCATCGACATCCTCCATCAAATGCCCTTATCAACTTCTCCACTGGAATGTTATCCACCCAACTTAATGCTTCCGCGTTTGACAATCTTATTTCTTCGCGGTAATACATGAATGATGGTTGGTTTAAGGCATACTCCGCGTTCACAACTTTTTTACGAGATTTTTGTCTTTGATTTCCCGCATAAAATTCTGAGCAATATGTCTTATGCAGTAGACATGGTCTGACTTTGCAAAAAATGAGTGTCGTAAATGGAAGCATTACCGCCATTTTGTCCTATCCGACAATGTGCTGCCATTCGAGAGAAAACCATCTATCCAATACATGAATTGGTATAGGTCGGTTACCATTGGTTTCATTTCTCATCCGAGATATCTGGTCGACCCATGCCAACAAGCCTCATCATCATGAACCCAACCGCTGACCCAACCCCCACTCACACAACCACAACTCCATGAACATACCCCTTACCAATCCACCTCATTCCAACAGAGTTATTCCTAGTCCCAATACCAACAAAATCCACCACCATATCAAACATACTCCTACGATACTATAAACCAATTTAACATGGAGTATCAAACACCCAATCAAACCTTACCCACCCAAACATTTACACCAATGTCACCTTATGACCAAGCCGACTATCGTCCTGACATTGGCTCATCGAGCCAACCACACCAACAAAATTATGGAGGCATGGGCAACCCCTTCAATCTAGATGACTTTATTGAGATCAACTCATCTTCATGGGCTCAAATGATCTAATTTCTTAAAGAGGACCCAACATAACCATCGCAATCACAAAGACCACCGAGAGACATACGTCTTTGAGGATGCGGTACCAGCGGACATTTATTTCAACCTAATCGTAGAAATTAATGTACAATATTTCGCCTATGTACTCAATTTATTATTAAATGAAATTATTTATTATTAAATTTTTTTTATTATTTAATATTTTATTTATAAAAAATTATTAAAAAATAATCGTTTAAAGGAGGCTTCAGGGCATTTGGCGCCCCCTCCTCATGTATAAAGGCGACTGCACCCCAAACGATGCCCCCTAATTAGTTTTTAAAGGGGTCGCACCCCTAATGACGCCTTCGTTCAACGAATTTTTTTTTTTGAAATTAGGGTATTTTGGAAAATTAGTTGGAAAGATGGGTATTTTGAAAAATATTATAGGAAAAGGTGGTTATGTAGGTAAAAATTTCGACTTTGTAACTTTTTTTCTTTCTATATTCCTAAATCAATCACTCTCCTTATCTCAACAAATAATATAATATTTTAAATGTTAAAAAAACACAAATAGAAGGGTTTGAATTGAGTTTTAAGATTAAATTTTTTTCTCTATCCAATAATCTAAACAACAAATATTAAGCAAAGATAAAAGAGACAATTATTTTTATATAGAGAATAATAGATTCGTTGGAGGATGAAGTTGGAATATCCTCAAATATTATAAATGTAAGACAATCACTTGTTTCTACAATAGTAGAGCGACACTTGCAGTAGATAGTAGGTAAAGATAGGACGCGAGGAACAACGTTGGTAGAATAATACAGTCATTTTAGTGATCTTTAGGGTAGTGGAAAGGATATTTGTTTTTTGTATCGATTATACCTGTCACGTGTTCTTCTTTCAGTTGTTGAATTTAGGTCATTAACTTCTAGTCAATGACTTTGTATTAAAGTTGATGAAGCTTGAGTCGTGTTCAGATTCTGTCATCAGAATCTGGTGAAATGAGACTTAAGAGTCTATGGAGTTCAAAGTTCTGAGACATTAGAGACTTGGAACTTCAAAATTATTATTATAGTCATTCTGAATGGTTACTTTGCAGAAGCGTTGGCTTGGTAATCCAAAAGCTTGACTTTCATTTAAATACGCCCTTGTTTCGTCTTCAATTCAGAGTCTGGTTTGGCCATGCTTAACTTCTTTAGAGTATGGTTTGCTCAGAGTAGATTTCTTCAGAGTTGGAATTTGTTTTCTATGATCTCCGCACTTAACAAAAAAATTAGAGTATATATATATATATATATATATATATATATATATATATATATATATATATATATATATATATATATATATATATATATATATATATATATATATATATATATATATATATATATATATATATATATATATATATATATATATATATATATATATATATATATATATATATATATATATAAAGCTTTGTTATCATCAAAACTTAAGGTTAGTTGCAGAACCAAACTTGTTCGAACAATCTCCCCCTTTTTGATGATGACAAATCCATGTATTTTGATGAACATTTTGATGGGTCATCATGAGGGGATATATATATATATCTTTGTTATCATCAAAACTTAAGGTTAGTTGCAGAACCAAACTTGTTCGAACAATCTCCCCCTTTTTGATGATGACAAATCCATGTATTTTGATGAACATTTTGATGGGTCATCATGAGGGAGAAGCATACACATTGAGTCAAACACTCATCTAAAGATCAAAGCATACACATTGAGGTGTATGGTCCTCTTACTTATAAATTGCTTAACCTTCACTTTTCTAAGCAATGTGGAACTTAGAACTCACACTTATTTTTCCACACAACTCACACTTGTTTCCCAACATTCTCCCCCTCAAGTGTGATTTCATTCATTATGCTCCCCCTCAAGCGGAAGCTCTTTCATCTAGATGCTTGTACCACCAATGAGAGACACCCTTATCTCGTCATAGGCACTTCAACGGAACACGTCGATGTTTACCATGAAAATTGGTAAACAATCGTTGGCCTCCAAAAAATTGGTTTACTTGCAGAATCAACTTGCAGAATCAACCAGTGAATTCTAGGACATGTACTATTGTTTAAACTATTTTTGAAAATTTTAAGAATACTTCGACAATGTTCATGATTGTAGAAGATTGTTTAAAGTTTAAAAAGATAAATTTGCAGAATTGTAAAAAAAATTCAATAAAGAAAACTTCAAAGTAGATTTGCAATGAAGAAATAAATGGTAAACTGAAAATAACTTTCAATTGAAATAAAAATAATGGTGTTTCAGACGTACATTCTCAACAAAAACTCTTTTCTCAATTAACTTAGATACTTTGAGTAATTTGTGAGTATTTGTACAACAAATCAACACACAAAAATCCTATGCACTAAGACTCCTATTTATACTACGTTGAAAATAACTGTCATTAATGGTCATTCCTCTAGAAAACGACATGTTTTTCTCTGCATGTCTTCAATTCACCACAACTTTACACGCGTCATTTCTAAGAAATAGATAAGAACAAAAGACAATGATCATCCTTATTTGAAATTCAAATTTTTTGCCGAACACAAGCTCTATATCGCCTCCGTCGAATTTGCCATCCAAACTTAGAAATACTTCTAAGTTTCAACCCAGCGTATCCTTCTCATAAAGGATCATCACTTTGACTGGAACCCTCAATAATACTCCTGTCGAAGTCCAAAACATTTTAAAAATATTTATTTTTGCTTATCATATTCAAATTAAATCCTTGGCGTCGAAATTTCCAGCTAATAAATTGCCCCCCAAAAATATAGTTTTCGACTAAATGGAGAAAAAGACATTTTTTGAAACTCACTTTCGATGCTAGA